TACCCCCTCCCCAACCCTCCCCAGCCTTCCTGCTGTAGTTTGACAGTCTGTTTCATGCTGCTCTGCCTCTGTATCTATTTTTGTCCACTTTCTAATCAGACTATTACTTTTCTTTTACTGTTGAATTTTATGAGTTTCTCATGTATTTTGGATATTAACCTCTTACCATATAAATGAATTACAATATTTTTTCTATTTGTAGGTTACCTTTTCATTTTGTTGACTATTTATTTTTCTGTTCAAAGTTTTTAACTGGTGTAGTCTCATTTATTTTTGCTTTTGCTGCTAGTACCAATGTCAAGAAGCTTTTTCCTGTGTTTGACAGTTTCAGGTCTTAAATTCAAGTCTATTGGGATTGAGATTGTTGCCTTATTTTTTTTCCAGATAATTTGTTGTTAGTATATACTCATAGAAATGCATTGTATGTTGATTTTATATCCTGAAAATTAACTGAGTTGGTTTATTAATTCTAACATTTAGGGTATTCTTTATACACTATCATATCAGCTTTAGATAGAGATAGCTTTACTTCTTCCTTTCTGATCTGAAGACTTTTTCTTTCTTTTTATTGGCTGATTTCTTTGGCTGCAACTCCCTGTACTATGTTGAGTAAGAGTGGTAAGTGTGGGTACCTTTGTTCTGTTCCTGATCTTAGAGGTAAAGCTTTCAGCATTTCGCCATTCAATGGGATGTTAACTGCAGGCTTGTCATATCTGGCCTTTACCATATTGAGGTACATTCTTGCTACATTCAAATTGTTGAGATTTTTTTTTTTATCATGAATAGTTATTGAATTTTCTCTAAATTTTTTTCTGCATCTATGGAGATGATCATATAAATTCAATTTTTCATTATATTGATATGATGTAAGTGGTGTGTGTATGCTGAACCATCCTTGCCTCCCAGATGTATCATCATGATGTATGACCCTTTTAATGTGCAGTTGAATCTGGTTTGCTAGTATTTTGTTGAGGCTTTTTGTGTCTATATTCATCAGGGATATTGGCCTGTAGTCTTCTTTTCTTGTACTATCCTTATCTGCTTTGGTAGAAGGATAATGCTGGTCTTGTAAAATGAGTTTGGAAGTGATCCCAATGGAAGATGCCTTGGGATAACTCATGACAGGTCAAAAGATTTAAGTTCTTTTTGCTGTAACCGACAGCCTAAGAATTGTGGAATAAAAAGGGAAGGACCAGTTAACAGTCTGTTGTAAATAGAATTAACATTTAATTCAGCTTATCTCCCAGAGCACACAGACCCCTGGCTGTGCCACAAATAACACATTTGCTCAGTTCTAAAAGTTTTGTCTATAAAGCTAGGAAACTTCTATTCATGATATATGATGCATACTTTTTAACTTTTTTATTTCTTCTATTTTTATATCCATGAAATTTCTACAGTTTTCTTCTCTCTTCCAAATATTTGACTACCTATTAAGTTGATCACCTGCAGAGTCTGAATTCCTACCCCCCACTCCCCATGAGCGGTCTTGTCCTGTCTTTAGGAGTAGTTTATCAGTGCCACCTTCACAGATTGGCTCCTCTTCCCTCCTCTCGTCTTCTTTGGGGGAACACAGATTTTTGTACACAGTTCTCATCGGGCTAGAGTCTACAGATGAATAAGAAAAAAAAGCAGCAGTAACAGTGTTTTAAAATATTCTGACCCTCTGTAGCATCAAAGTTAATACCAGTTTATAGGGTTTCACTGGGCCTTCACAAAGAAAGTGATCAATGGCTATTGACTTCCCACATCACAATGGGTGTTAAATTATAGTGTGCTTTTCTAGGTTTCTGAAAGGATTTTATTTTACTCTTTATTTAATGCAGCCTCCATTATTTCTAGCGGGTAAAACGCAGCCTCCAAGTTCTGGTTCCCATCTCCCTCAGTGTTCAATTAATATTAAAACTGTAAACAAATTTCAGCACCTCCATTTACAGGATCTTTTCATTTCTGCATTTTGCTAATCACCATCCTGGAATCTCCACTGAGTGGTGTTCTTTAGGATTAGCTGTTAAGACCTTGGAGTTTCAGCTCAATATTGATTTCGCTTGGATAAGTGCTGTTCACCCTTAGTGGCGGGGCGGAGGGGGGGTGGTCAATATTATTGCTAGTTAAGGAAGCCTGTTCTAATACTGATGGTCTGGATGGCATGTTTGGGAGACTTTGTTAATTCTGTATTTAATGGTGTTATTAAATGAAGACTTTCTTGACCTCATCTGCAGATTATAAAATGTATAAGATATCATTCACATTTTAAGAGCTAACTGCTATTTTGAAGGTTAAGCCACATTTATGCTTATCTTATAAGGAGCTGGCTTTTAAAATGATTAAATGGTTTGCAAAATAGTTGGTGCAGTTTAATAAAGGGCAATCAACTGTCTTATCTGGGAGTGACCCAGGGTTCCAGAGGCAATATTTGAAAAATCAGCCCAGTTTGTTTTCTTTGATGTTGTTAAAGATTTCATTTGTTATCTTAATTTTAGGAGAGGATTTAATATCATCCTGTGCGTTGCCTCTTTTTCTCTCCTGGGTTGTTTTTTTAAAGGTCACTCCACAATTGAAATGAGTCTACAAAGATGGGGAAGGAAGCTCCGCTGCCTTGTAAAGTACTCAGAGAGAGGAGATTGAAAGTTGTGTTTGGGGACTAGGAATAGATTTCATCCGTTCATTCTGTCCTTACTCTCTATTACCAGAGATAATTGAGAGGTGACTGGACTTAACTGAATGAGGAATATACATCAATGCATCTTTTAATAAATAAGTGCAAATTTTAGGTTACTTTCAAGTAGTCAATATCTTATTTTATCTGTATTTTATTAAAATATAGGTTCACCATGTTAGCAAAGATAGTCTAAAACAAATCAAACACTAAATAAGTATTCTAAATAAAATCAAGTGTGTGTGTGTGTGTGTGTAGGAAAAAGAAGGGAAGGAGGGAGTCGGGGAGAGAGGAAGGGGAAGAGAATGAATGAAAGTTAAATTTTTGTTCTCTGAAAATATCAGGAAGTGATTCACTCTTGCTAATTTTAACCATTTCGGTGGCTTTAACTAAATGACCTGTTTCCAAATTTCTTAACCAGAGCATCCTGAGATATATAATTTAACCTTTTCTTCATGATGCAGGACCATAAGTATAAATGTTGCACAATGACTTACTTGCATGACATTGAAGAATGTCCAACAATTTCCCGTTACATGACCTGTAGTCAGACAGCCCAGCTTATCCGAGTACCTCTTTCTACTTTTAAGTTTATTTATTGGTTAGGGTTCTTCTTTTCAGTTCCTATAGGTAGACTCTGACTTTCTGTATCTAAACCACTGTACATTTCAAAGACATATAATCAACTTTGTTAGAATTACATACAAAGCGGTGGCTGAGAATTTTAGAAGTCTCTGTGAGTGAAATGTGCAGAATTTAGCCAAAGAACAATTTAGACCTATTCAAACCACTCTATAATTCCTCCTCCTTTTTGTCTTCCTCCTTCCTTTCTTTTCTTCTTGATCACAGCCAAAATTGCCGTAACACTGAATTCCACGGGTAAAGGTATTAATTTGGGATTGGGGAAGGGAAAAGTCTAATGATTTGACACTAAAGATTGTTTATATAATGTATGCATATATTAAATAAGTTTTCCTGGAAAAGAAATGTATTTCTATATATGCATATAAATATACATAGTATATAATTAATGGGTAAATAATATACATTTTCTCTTAATTGAAATTTATGTGAGCATGTGTTCAGTAGATTCAGAGCTAGATGGGCACTTACAGAGCAAAATCCTCATTTTAGAGATAATCACTAAGTTTATGAAAAATAAATTATACTTATATATAATAGATGTTTACATGAAATATATGCAATGTATATGAAATTATGCTTAGTGTGTGTATGTGTATACACTCTTTACTTTTAAATGGATAATATATTAACAAAATCCTCAAGTCTCCCACCTTCTCTCAAAGGTGGTCATTGTTTCCAGTCTCCTCTATACTTCCATTTTGATCATTTAAGAAGTTATCATTAAGTGCTTGTTATTTAAAGTGCTGTCCTGGGTGCTGGAAATAGAACAATCTTAAGACTTTGGGTTCCCTGCACTTGAAATCACTAATCTACACTAATAAAAGACAAAGATGCTAATTGACCATACCTTTGCTATGCCCACCAGCCAATCAGAAGAGTATGCAAATTAACCCAACAAAGATGGCAGTTAATTTGCATACACAGGCTCCCAGCAAAGACTGAAGACAGTGTAGAAGGAAGCCAAGCACTGCAGAAGGGAGCCAAGTGGCGGAGAAGGGAACGAATCAGAGGTAGCAGAGACAGGAGTGGAGCTGAGGCAGTGGACACGGGAGGGAGCGAGGCGGTGGACACAGGAGGGAGGTGAAGCAGAAGACATGGGAGGGAGCTGAGGGGGTGGGGAAGGGAAGGAGCTGAGGCAGTGGAGAAGGGAGGGGGTGAGGCGGTGGAGAAGGGAGGGAGCCAAGAGCGAAGTGGCGAAGGGAGGGAGCGAGGCAGCAGAGAAGGAAGCAAAGCCCGCCTTCAGTGGGCTTCGCTCCCTACTCTGCTTCGCTCCAGTCTCAGGAAGTCCTATTCTTGCAGGAATCTTCCCACAACAGGCCTCTAGTAGAAAGATAAATGTCTAAAATAATTACAGTTCAGTCGTTCATTCAATAATCATTCTTTAGGTGTCCTTTAAGTGCTTGTCTCAGTAAGACAAGTATAACAGTTGAGATATTAGCTAAGTGCTGTATAGGTACTTTGCATTTGGACTCTGTGAGAAGTAGACTTTACCAATCAGAGGAATGAAAGGGGGTGAGGCAGTGGAGAAGGGAGGGAGCCAAGGGCGAAGTGGGGAAGGGAGGGAGCGAGGCAGCAGAGAAGGAAGCGAAGCTCGCCTTCAGTGGGCTTCGCTCCCTACTCTGCTTCGCTCCAGTCTCAGGAAGCCCTATTCTTGCAGGAATAGGCCCAAGGACGCCCTATTCTTGCAGAAATCTTCCCGCAACAGGCCTCTAGTAGAAAGATAAATGTCTAAAATAATTACAGTTCAGTCGTTCATTCAATAATCATTCTTTAGGTGTCCTTTAAGTGCTTGTCTCAGTAAGACAAGTATAACAGTTGAGATATTAGCTAAGTGCTGTATAGGTACTTTGCATTTGGACTCTGTGAGAAGTAGACTTTACCAATCAGAGGAATGAGAAAGAAAGTTGTAGGTTCAGAACACCCTGGATAGACTGGATAACTCAATAGAATCCCATTAGATTTTCTGTATTGAAGAGTACGTTTCGTTTTTCAAGAAACCACTAACCTGTATTCCAAAGTGTATGAACCATTCTGTGCTCCGCACCCTCATCAACACTTGTCTGTCTTCTGAATTTTGGCCATTCTGATAGACATCTCACTGAAGTTTGCAGTTCCTTAGTGATATATGCTGTGGAACATCTGTTCACATTTACTTGCCATCTATATATCTTGTTTGGTGAGTTATCTACTCAGGTTTTGCCCACTTTTTACTCTAATTGTAGATTTTCTTATTGTTGAATTTTAAGAGTTCTTTGTGTGATTTGAATAACCATCTTTTATCATATTTTTCTTTTGCAAATATTTTCTGCAAGTCTGTGGCTTGACTTCTCATTCTCTTGATGACTTTCAAAGAGAAGTTTTTAATTTTAATGAAGGCCAGTTTATCAATTATTTCTTTCCTGGATTATCTCCTGGAAGAGACTATTGAGAGTTGGTATAATTTCTTTCTTAAAGGTTTGGTAGAATTTACCAGTGACACCTTGAGGGCCTGTTTTGGAAGTATCGACACCTTTATCATTATGTAATGCCCCCCTTTATTCTGGATAATTTCCTTGCTCAGAAATTTGCTCTGTCTAAAATTAATACAGCTACTCCCACTTTCCTTTGATTAGTGTTAACATGGTATATTTTCCTCATTCATTGACTTCTAATCTATGTGTGTTCTTATATTTAAAGTGATTTTCTTGTAAACAGCATAGAAGTGAGTCCTGTTTGTTGATCCATAATGACAATCTCTTTTAATTGGTGTTTGTATACCATTACGTGATGGCTACGGTGATTATTGACATCGTTAAATTAATATGTAACATATTGGTTACTGTTTTCTATTTATTGCCCTTGTTCTTTGTTTCTACTTTTGCCTTCCATACTTTTTCTGCCTTTTGTGGTTTTAATTGAGCATTTTACATGATATTTTCTCCTTTTTGAGTATATTACTGATACTTTTTTGTTAGTTTTTTTAAGTGGTTGCCTTAGAGTTTGCAGTATACATTTACAACTAATTCAAGTACATTTTCAAACAACAGTATAACATTTCACTAGTAGTGCAAGTTCCTTATAATAACAAAATATTCCTAATTTCTCCCTTCTATCCTGCCCCTTATATCAGATCAATGTTTTCATTTCACTTATACATAGGCATATGTAAGTATATATTAAAACAAATAATGTAAATGACATTATAGACATTAATATAGTGTACATTCATATAGTATAACACATGCATACATACTTACATTGTTGCTATTATTATTTTTAACACACTATTATCTATTAGATCAATTAAGGACATGAAAAGTAAAATATTTTATTTTACCTTCATTTATTCCTTCTCTAATGTTCTTTGTGTAACTATGACTTACTAACCTATATTATTTACCTGTTCCCTGAAACACTTTTAATATTTCTAAATGGAAGACCTACTGGCAACAAATCCCTTCAGATTTTGTTTGCCTGAGAAAGTTTTTATTTTTCCTTCACTTTTTTTTGAACATAGATTTATTTATCTCTCCTTCACTTTTAAAAGATAATTGCACAGGGTACAGAATTCCAGGTTGGTGGGGGTTTTTTCTGTCAACATTTTAAATATTTCACTTTGGTTTCATGGTTTCTAAAGAGAAGTTGAGTGTAATTCTTATTTTTGCTCCTCTATATGTGGTGTTTGTTTGTTTTTACCAATGGCTTTGTTCAAGACTTTTTTTTTTAATCTCTGATTTTCTAAAGTTTAAATATGATATGCTTAAGTATTGGCAGGGGGCCTGCCTTCCTTCCTCCCTCCCTTCCTTCCTCCCTCCCTTTCTTCCTTCCTTCCTTCCTTCCTTCCTTCCTTCCTCTCTTCCTTCCTTCCCTCTTTCCTTTCTCTTCACCAGAGGATATTTTCCCATTGATTTGCAGAGACTTGTTGGTCTCTGAGCTTCCTGAATCTGTGATGTTGTGTCTTACATTAATTTCAGGAAATTCTGTCATTAGTACTTCAAATAATGCTCCTGTGCCTGTCTTTCTCCTCCTTCTGGAATCCCCAGTTACATGTCACACTTTTTTTATAGTCATCTCACAGGTCTTGGGTATTATTGCAGGCGGGGGGGGGGGGGGGGGA